CCACCGCATTGTCACCATGTCCAGGTTTGAACTCCCAAACTTCGCCCTCTCCAGCTCCACCCTACACAAGCTATAGACCATCCTGAACTCTACAACCTCCCCCACCACTAAACTTCGCGAGCTGATCAACCCCCACTGCCCTCCGCCCATCTACTGCAATAACTCTTAAATCCTTAATAATTAGTATTATTAAATAATTATTCAATTATTAAAAATGCAATTATTAAAAAATATTATTATCTACATTTGGCTCCAGACCCCAGCACAATGTTCTCAAGTTCCTCAATTTTGCTTTCCAATATCGCCACTGACTCACTCCAACCAACTTCTGCAAATTTGCTTCAAACTCTCCTGACCCTGGCCGCCACCTTCACCCACCCGCTCAGTAACCGCTTTGTCAACCCCCCACCCCGCCCGTCCCGCCGGGCTATCAACCGTTCTGCTCCCAAATCTCTGGAACATACCGGAAACACTCCGCCAAGCCCTCCCTCCCTTTACGATTTCAAAACCCCACCAGAAAACCTCTCCGTTTGATTTCGCTCTCGCCCCCACCCACTCCCCACCACCCACACCTTCTGGTTCTGGCAGATAAAATCAGTCTTGTGAAGCGCTTCGAGACGTTGTCCAGATGTGAAAGCCACAGGATATAAATACAGAGACAGGAGTAAGTTGCCACACTGCCTGGCAGGTACACTGGCCACTGACCAACAAAGCCAACAATAAAAGCAGTTGTCCTTAAGCTCATTCCTAAATGCTAAATGATTTTGAACCTCTACCTCTCCAGTCACCGCTCCCTCCCTCCCCTTTCTCTAAAGCGTCCAGTAACACAGCCAAGCCATGGCTTTCACCCAAACAAAAAAAATCACTGATGTGAATAATAATAATCCTTGCATTTCAGTTCGGATGCCATTAAGCCTGCTTATCACTGCAAAGAGAAGCGAAAGCAAGTTGTGTTCCTCACCTCAACCTGTCTTGTGTTTGACAGCTCGGGGAGTTAGCTTACACACACACACTCATCGACGAGCAAGATCTGACTTGATCTCTGGCTATGGGACAGTAGTAAGTGGCCACACTGCCTGGCAGGTACACTGGCCGTCGACCAACAAAGCCAACAGTAACGCTGCTCACATGCCCAGCATGGCTAGGTGGATGCTATGCCCTGGGCTACCTCACACATCACTCAAACACATACAAGAGAACGCTAATACAGGCAATGCAACAGAATGCCCTAGTGCAACAACAACTTGCATTTATATAGCGCCCCTCACGGTAGCGTCCCAGAGCACTTGAAACAGAGGAAGCACGCAGCAAAACTCCACTTATTACAAATGCAAGGCTTTGTGTTGCTAATGTTTATCTGTGAGGAAAGTAAAGGGATTTTCCAGTGTTCATCCAGGGGTTTGGCCAGGCAGCTCATTGCTTTGCATTTCCAAGATCTGCTACTCACAGAGAGCAGACCCCAGCCCACAGATCAGCCCCAACCCACCCCACCACCACACACACACACACACACACACACAGACTCAAAACCCCTCGCTTCACCTCCACCCAAACTTCCTACAGTCTCCAGCACAGGAGCACATGCTTGACACCTGCTAGAAGTGCTTTTAAAACAGCCCCGGGTTTCGCCAGAGAGTGATAGAAAAGTAAAGCATTGCACTTTACAAACTCTGGCTCCAATCCCTTGATACATAACAGTCTAGCGACAAGAGGGATAAAAGCAGGAGAGAGCGAGAGAGAAAGAGAGGAACATACCCTCAGAGTGTCCGGGAAGCTGCGCTGAGCAGGTTGTGCTGTTTCTCAGCACCAGACCCTGTTGTAGCACAGCCCACAGCATAGAAATGCCTCTTGCACTGGACTGACACTCGCCAGTTTATCAGAGAGGCAATGAGCCAAGTCTCTGTTTCTCTCTCTGAAGTGCTAAAGGGGTGGAGAGCTATTGAATTACACTTCACCAGTTTTACTGAGTTACATTTCCTCTTCAAGCTACATCACTTTTCGTATGCTGATGCTAATCCAAACAAACAACATCCGAATAATCACAGTGAATCTAATAATAATAATAATAATCCTTGCATTTGATATAGCGCTTTTCACGTCTTCTCGACGTCTCAAAGCGCTTCACAGAATATCCTGTAAAGTGAATTGACTATATATTTGTGGGCAAAACGCGGCAGCCAATTGCGCACAGCAGTGTCCCACAAACAGTCGTGGATTGAAATGACCAATTTTTTTTGAGGGATTATTATCAGGTGTGTGGAGTAAGGAAACTTGCCCAAGGTTTCACCCTGCCGGGAATCAAACCCAAGTCTCTCGCTTGCGAGGCGAGGGCTCTCACCACTGAGCTACAGATTAAAATATACAGATGTAAAATAGATTGTTACACGTAATATCACCGAGCTGGCTATCCCAAGTGATTGCATTGTAAGATTTTTTATTTGGGTCAGCCCCACGCTGAAGCCCATCACTGTGTTTGTGAGAATCCAAACCAATGTGAGATTTCCATGCATCCCACCAACACAAGGAGATGCCAGGCATAGACTGTTGGAATGGAAAGCGCACTCTCTCCCATAAGGGGAGGGACACATCCTCATTACCTAATTCCGGAAAGTATTACAAATTGACACTACACAAATGTAATCTTGTTGTTGTTGTCGTCGTTGTTGTATTAGGCGCTGGTTGGCAAGAGAAAAGGCTTCAGGATCCCAGAGTGTGCAATTGGATAACTGCTGGAGTCTAATCAGCTGAAAAAAAACGCATAGCTTGTCATTGATAGCACTGTCTGGCAAGCTTTCCGCTGCTTGTCCAGCTACAATCACCCTACATGTTAGGGCTTCGGCTTGCAGGGTTAACAGGAGCTGAGTGGGATGATTCCCTACACCCAGTGACTGGTCTGCCCTCCAAGTCCTGCCGTTGAGCCAGACTGGGCACCCACCTGGCTCAGGAACCAGACTACCAAGATCGTGGGCAACACAGCTCAGCACGTAAAGAAATAAGGAACTAGAGAAAATCAGGAAATATATCGATCTACGAATTGAATGCGGAGTCTGTGGGGATGTAAAAGAAACATACTTCCTGTAGTCATCGGTGCAACTGGGACTGTTAATAAGACTATTCCGAAATGGCTTGACAAAATACCTGGTAAGCAAAATATCAACCTCCTGCAAAAAGTAGCTGTTTTAGTAAGCTCAAATATATTAAGAAAAGTAACATTCATTCATATGTAATGCGACAGTATTACTGGTCTGGCTGACCATCACTGAAAACCATGTAGAAATGACCTCAACAGAGAGACTTAAAATTGTAATAACATAATAATAATAATAATAAAGTGGTTCCTGTGAAGCGTTTTAGGGAGTGCACCTGCTGAACAGAAATGGCACTGCATCAAATCGTAGACAATCTGAAACTTTTCATGGGGCCAAAAATACAAAATGCAGCTTTCTTAAACAATGTCTTAAATTCTGAAGACGACTTTCCGCACGTTTCTTTTTAATCACAGCAGAAAAAATAGCTTCAAAATGAAGGCAATTCCAAAAATTTCCCAGATTCCGTCTGTGTCCATGGACATTGCTGTTCGCAAATTGGCTGTGTGTTTGTCACTCCACTTCACAGTAAAATGTAGCTTAGTGGTTAGAGCATTTGAGATGACGTAGAGCAAGGGAGAGGGACATGGGTTTCCTTCGTGGAAGGGAGAACTTTTAGGCAAGTTTCCTTACGCCACATTCTTTGAGACGTCTCGAAGACGTGATAAGATATATCAAATGTAAGGATTATTATTATTATTAAATCGAGGTCCCATCTTCCTGTTCGGATGGACATTAAAGATCCCATGGCGCTTTTTGAAAAGGGAAGGGAGTTTCTCTCATCCAGTTTCCCGGCCAACAATCCTCCAGATAAAATCAGTCATTCAATTGTACAATAATAATCCTTGCATTTGATCTAGCGCTTCTTTTATAGACGTCTCAAAGCGCTTCACAGAATATACTATAAAATGAATTGACTGTATATTTGTGGGCGAAATGCAGCAGCCAATTGCACACAGCAGTGTCCCACAAACAGTCGTGGATTGAAGCGACCAATTTTATTATTTCTTTTTTTCTTTTGGATGATCAGGCGTGTGGAGCAAGGAAACTTGGCCAAGGGTTCGCCCGGCCAGGAATCAAACCCAGGTCTCTCGCTTGCGAGGCAAGTGCTTTAACCACTGATTCACAAATTCATGGCTGTTTGTGGGACGTTGCTGAGTGCAAATTGGCTGCCGCATTCCGAACACAGAAATACACAGTCACTACACTTCACAATAAATCCTTATTTATTATTTCCCTCGGTGCCTGAAATGTGGGTCACATTCCACTAGAAGGCTGACATGTGAAAGAGTTGGAACTTTACTGCTGAATGATGCAGACCAAGCAAAAAGAGGAACTGAAGCTACGGAGCAAGAACTTCAACCGTCTTACTCTGAAGGAGCACCAAGATCTAACGGAAGAGTGATTAGGTAAAAATAACAATCCTTTCAATTGATACAGCACCTGATCATGTCATCAAGGTGTCTCAAAGCGCTTCACACGATATATTGATAGACTGATTGTGGGTTTCTATGGGTGAATGTTAAGAATAATAATCCTTGCCTTTGGTATAGCACCTTATCACGTCGGAAGGACGTCTCAAAGCACTGGCCCCATGTTCATTTCACCAGTGGCTCTCAAGTTGTTTGAAAGAAAGGCTGCACTTCCATTCAGTCTGCCAAGGATCTGGGCCAAGGTTCCCACGCAGACACACACCTATATTCTCACATACACGCACACTCACCATACTCAAACACAAACACCCCCTGCCCCACCCCACCCCCCCCACACACAGTTACAGTCACCACACTCACACACAAACACACACACACATACACATACATAAGTAAGGACACATTTTGTATTTCTCTTAAACATCCCTGATCTGTGGTATGTTTTGTAAACTCCAATATACATTCAGGTGCAATTACTTACTGACTGAGGGTTCATTTGCCCACATTAGCCTGTCGTCCGCAGAGTCCTGTTGAATCTCTTCGCAGATCCATGGGAAGTGGACGCAGAGGATAGAGAGGAAGGCTTGACAGTAGCTTTCCTCTTTGCCGAGGACAGACACGAGGATGACGCGTGGCAAGTCTTCGATGTCACATTGGTTGTAATGACGGTAACTATCCTTTGTTACCAGACCCTTTTCCAATAAATCGTCCAGTAAGACTCGAAACTGGGAGGGAGGCGCTTTAGAAAGAACGTTTATCAGACCGAGGAGGGATTCTGTTGAGTGAGTCATACCTAAAAAAATTGAATTTAGAGATAATTAGTACAAAGTAGAAATGATATCTCACCCAATGTAACGATGCCCCCAATCACAGTACCAAGCTGCTACAATGATTCCAGTACCCTGGTCACAACCGTCTTTCCTGACAACCTGTTCCAGTCATTAATTACCTTCTGGGTAAAGAAACACTTCCTGATGTTTAAAACTAGGAAATGGAATTCTATTGTTAATTCATCGCAAAAGCATGCGTGTTACAGCATCTCCCAAGTTTCGCTTTAAGCTAGGGGGGGGCAGTGTGTTTACACAGAGGTTACAACAACAACAACAACTTATATAGTGCCCTCCACGCAGGGTAGAGTCTCAGAGCGCTTAACAGTGGTGGAGCCTGACTCCGAGCCGGGGGGAGAGGCGGCTGTAAGCAGTCGAAGAGGAAAGTTTTCAGGCGGGACTTGAAAGAGGGGAGATTTACACAGGGGGCTCATGCATACATCAAGCTTTCTCTTGAATCCTTAACTACTTGGAATTTCTGCTTCACCCACAGTTTCTGCCAATGAGTTCCACATTCTCACCATCCTGTGTGTGATGAAGTTCCTCCTATACTACTGTTAGATCTGTTACTGACTCATTCATATTCATGTCCCCTCCAGTTTTGGACTCACCAAGAAGTGGAAACAGTCTGTTAACATCCACCTTATCAACACCTTTCATAATCTTAAACCTCTCAATCACGTCCCTTCTCCCTCGTCTGAAATCTAGAGAGAAAAACTCTCACCTGTCTTTTCTTTCTATCCACTCATCCCTGGTAAAGTACTCTGAGACGCCGACCTACGTGAGCAGCACTATATAACTGCAACTTGTTGTCCTTGTCACATCTGTGTAAATCTACATATAAATGCTACCTTATCCTTCCTGAAGTATGACAACAGAGCTGCACACGGGACTGGAAATATGGTCTAACCAAAGTTTTATACAAATGTAATTTCACTTCCCTACTTATGTACTCTGTTCCTCTGGACATAAAGCCAAGGATTCAATTTGTATTCTTTACGGCTTTGTCTACCTGTGCTGCTACTTTTCGTCCTGTGAATTTTTTCTTGGTCATTGGTTGTCCACCACAGGAGAAACCCATCACCTTGCTTCAGGATATCCAAACCAGACCAAACCAAACCAAACCATGCATGTGTACCATCTACACATAGAAATTCCCGTGTCTAGAATGGAATATACACTCTCTTCCCACACCCTGAACATAAGAACATAAGAAATACTAGACGATAAAAGACCAAGATCCATCTAGTTCCCCTTCCACCTTCCTGGCGGTCGCATGTACATATGTCCCAAACTCCCCATAATGTTATTTCCTAAAAGAAAAGTATCTAATCTGTGTTTGAAAGAATCAACACTTCCTGCTTCAACCGTCTCCCTAGGGAGCCTGTTCCACAGGTTCACTATCTGCTCCCGTAAATAGTGTTTGCGTACGATTCATTCTGAATTTACGCCCTTCAATCGCATGTCGTGTCCTCTGTTTCTTCTATTCTGGACAAGTTAAAACAGCCTGTCATGATCTATATTGTTTTGCCCACTTTAGAATCTGAAAGAGAGCAATTATGTCACCTCTCAATCTTCTCTTTTCCAGCGTGAACATGCCCAGTTTACTGAGTCACTCCTCAGTTCTTCCATTCCCTCATTCATTTTCATTGCCTTCCTCTGTATTTTCTTGATTTCTCCAATATCCTTTTTGTACTGCGGCGACCAGAACTGTCCACAGTACTCTAGGTATGGTCTCACCAATGATTTATACTTTGGCAGACTCTTTTGATTACCCCACTATTTCAGCTTGCTATTGATCTTTTAATACATCCCGACATCTGGTTTGCTTTACACCATGCTTACGCAATTCCAGAAAGCCCCTCGTACCCCCAAGACTTGAGTCTTGCCAACCTGTGCCTAATTCTCTCGGGAATTAAGTAAGCAGGATGCATCCCTCTGGGGAGAGAGTGCACATTCCATTCCAGAACACAGGGAAATTTTCATGTGTCAGTGACATACTGGACAGCAACCTCCTGTGTTTTTCTTAATTAATTCGATTAATTTTTATTTTCTGTTGCAGGTGAGCCAAGCGTAACATGTCGATACCAGTAACTTCTTCCTCATTCCATCCATTTTACTGAAGATGTAGCATTGGTGACGGATCATTAACTGCCATGAAAATGATGGCACACACACACACATACACTCACACACATACACCGATCCTCTGGACATCCAAATACAGTTACACGCTTGTAACTAAATACAATTAAATACTTATAAATACAATGATCATCATTCTTCCACATGTTTCAGTTGTTGATCAGTGGTCTGTACGTAGGGGTAACAGGATTTTGTGAACACCCTGTGGAATTCTCAGTCTGCTTTGAATACTCTAGCACTGTGCTGGGTTTCTGCATGCGTCAGACATCTGGCTGACTCCCAAAGATCAAACATATATATTAATAATAATTGTTGTGATATCAAATTAAATAGATGACTGTTTGTGGGACACTGCTGTGCACAATTGGCTGCCGTGTTTCGCCCACAAATTATAAGGTCAAGCAGATTTGCAATATATCCTGTGAAACGCTTTGAGATATCACGAAGACGTGATAAGGTGCTATATCAAATACAAGGATTATTATTAGTATATATGAGAGCGCATATCAAAAACATATGTAGCTGATTCCTTGTACAAACCTAATCAACCTGGCACATTGACTCAGTCTGGAACATTGACTTGTCTGGATCATTTGAGCGAAATGTGAACCATGACCTCCCAGTATTCTCTCACTCTCCAGCATCTAATCTGCTGGGGAGAGACACAACACAGTTCACTTGATCAGTGCAGCTCTTTGAAGGCTCGAGCCTTCTGAATGCCTTGTACCCTCCTCTCTACGATTAGCGGCCATGCTGTCAGCCGCTATGCTTTCTGGAAGCAAGCAAACCTTTTTTTTGCTGTTCAGTAAACTTACTTATTTAAACTTTAAACTTATGCTGGAACTCCCTGCCTGAATTCCTCCACCTTGCCCCCCTTTCTTTGCCCATCTTCAGATCACACCTGAAGACTTTCCTCTTCAGTCGTGCCTACAGTCACCTCCCCTTTCCCCCTGGAAAAACTGCTCAATGTCAAACTGTGCCAAACTAGCATTTCAAGGTGCTACCCAAGATGCGTGAAGGGCGCTTTGTCATCTTAGCATAAGGAAAAACCTGGGATTGAGTTTCCTGTATACAGCCCTCTATACCTGGAAATCAGGTGACCTTGCCAAAAGATCTAAAAATACAACCTAACAAGTTTTAGTTCCCACCCACACAGTTCCACATGGTTGACTTGGAGAATGATAGGCACACACCCAATGATGCAATGTATAAACAATGCCAACTTAATCAGCAATGGTTTCAATTGAGCCAACCAGGAATCTTAACCTTGTCTACCAGGTTTATTCAATTTCTCGTCTTCAAGACAGATTCTGAAATTAAATAATTCACAGGCTCCTGACTTTGCAGTGGAGGGATTTACTCCAACCCATTTGCTAACTGTTTTGTCACTCGAACCATAACTGTTTGTGGGATACTTCTGTGCACAATTGACTACCGTTTCTTGCTTACAAAATACGGTCAATTCACTTCACAATATATTCTGTGAAGCTCTTTGATGTGTCTCAATGACGTGATGGGGCATTATATTAAATGCAAGGATTATTATTATTATACAAATGTGAGTTGTTGTTGTATGTAAATCTATGTAAAGTTCAGGAACAAGCAGTGAGGTGGATTTGTGGTAAAAAAAAGTGTCCCCATTTAGATAATTGTTTGTGGAGGACAAGTTTGCAGGGCTATGGGGAGAAGGCGGGGGAGTGGGATTGATTTGGATAGCTCTTTTCAAAGAGCCGGTACTGACACGATGGACCCAAATGGCCTCCTTCTGTGCTGTATAATTATTTGATTCTATGATTCAGGTCTTGGCCAGGAATGCTTTACTTCATTTCCGACACTTTGCCCGCTTCTGTCCTTATCTCACCCAAATGACATTGAAAGCCCCACCGTTGCCTTTATAACCTCCCGCCTTGATTTCACAAACGCTTCTCCTCACCGTTCTCCCTAGTTCCACCGCCCACAAGGTCTGGCTCATCCAAAACTCCGCCACCAATATCCTCATCCACATCAAACTCGGCACACCTATCACCCCAAACTCACCATGCTCTACTAGCTCTATGGCTCCACATGGATTAGGGGTGGGGGGGGGGGGGGGGTGCAGAGGAGAGCAATGAGGATGATCCCCAGTGTTAGAAGAATTAGTTATGAACAATGACTATACAAGTTGGGGCTCTTCAGTCCTAAGAGAAGATGACTCAGAAAGGACCTCGTAGAGGTGTACAACATTTTAAATTGGATTGAAAAAGTAACCCCAGATCATTACTTTAGGATGTATCAAGACAGTAGATTTAGAGCTGTAAAGGGTAATTTCAGGACAGACATAGGAAGTCTTCTTTACATGGAGGGTAATTAACTAATGGAACAAAGTTGCCAGGAAGGGTGGTTGAGGCCAGGTCACTGGGACTCTTTTAAAAAGCAGCTTTGATACAGTGATGGGGGGACGGTAGGATGGGTGGTCTGGAGAGATGACATCAGATGGGCTGTTGGACCTTCTTCATCCAGATTGATCTTGTGATCTTGTTACCACTCTGACTTGCTTGTACTCCACTCTTCTATCCACTCCTCTTCGCTCAGGTTACACAGATCTGCTGCATGTATCCCAACCACCTCCAGGCTATCGTTTGTGCCTGTGCCTTCAGCCCCTGTGCTCCCTAACCCCTGGAACTCCCTGCCTCTAATCCTCCACCTCGCCTCACCCCCTCTTTATCCTTCAACCTCTTCAACTGCGACTATGGTTACCGCCCCCCCCTATTGGTGCGTGTCCAACCTTGCCAGCACTCCGAGGCACTAGTCTATAGGGAGCTATACAGATGCAAGTTGTTGTTGTAAATTGGGGAAATGACTGCAAGAGGAAAGTCTCTGGCCTACTTTGACCTATCATTCATCACCCAGGAGGTGAAAGCTTCACAGCGGGCACATCTATTTGCCAAAGTCCCTCATGTAAGGACCTCAATTAAGAAGTTGGTGCTGAGTAAACCTTGTACCTGGTCTGTATAAACTGCCTGTATAATTTCTTTCACATGCTCTGCTGAAGGCAAGAGTCTGTCAGATAGCTGATGAGGAAACCCTGAGGCTTGAGATAACTGCTGCTGGAAGGTGTTATCTGGATTCTGGTTCTTGAATGCACATTCATATATCCAGGGCTGTGTCTGGTATCCATAGAGGGAAGCAGGCTGATGACAGCTCAGGCCAGCCTGGCCCATCAGCAGGACTTGGAAGAGCAGAGCAGTCATTGGGGACAGAGAATCCTTCCGTTCAGCTCTTATTAACCCTGTAAGCCAAAGCCCTAAAGGTTCAGGTGGTGCTAGCTGGACAAGCAGAGGGAAAGCTTGGCAGACATTGCTCTCAATGGCAATCTTTGCAGTTGTAGCCAGTTAGACTACAGCAGTACTTGGCAACCTTCCCCTTATCACCACTCATCAAAATGGAAAACTATACACGTCAAAACCTTTCATCTGAAATACAAAATATTATTAGAAAAAGGAAGCTACATTTCTAGGCCTTGCCACAAAAGTGAACTGCAAATGGTTTGAGCTAGTTAAATTCCCAAGCCTTGGCTCTCGCCAACCAGTGCCTAATATTCTCTGGGATTAAACAGGGTGTGTTCCTCCAGGGAGAGAGTGCATGTTCCATCCAGACAGACATTTCCATGTGGAGGGGGCATACAAATATGGGCCTCAGCTTTGTTTGAACACTCTTAAGCACAGTGATTGGTTTCTGCTTGGGTCAGACACCCAGCGACCACAAAAAAAGATATTCTCGCTCTCTCTCTCCAAATTCTCTTTCAGTTTCTACTTCATCTTCTTTATCTCTCACCTTCTCTCTGCCTCTGACCAAGGTCAACCATGTCCTGTGCAATTAATGAAAATTACAACCAAGTGGCATTCTCTGCAGAAATAGGCTGCAATAATGATAAAAATGCGCACTTCACTAAAAACATTCTAAGATAAATCCTCTAAAGTAATTCTGTATTCTGCACCCACACAAAATTCATGTTATGAAAGAGAAGTCTGTAAGAGAGTTTCACATAGTTCCCTATATCCATTATGTCAGAGACCTAAAAAGAGAAGTGCGTTCTGGAAATGCTTTCTCTATCAGTCAGAATCACAAATATTCTCTTTTATATAAAATCAAAAGATCACAAAATTGGTCTGGATGACAAAGGCCCTTCAGCCCATCCGATCTCACCCTCCAAAACACGCATCCTACAGACTCGCTTATCGCATCAAGCTGCTTTCAAATGAATCCAGTTTCCTGGCCTCAACCAGTCTTCCTGGTAATCCTGTTCCAGTCGTTAATTACCCTCTGAATAAAGAGGTGTCTGTCCTGAAATTGTTCTTTGCAACTCTAAACCTATGTCCTCTTGTTCTACTGTCACGCTATATCCTAAAAGGACTTATCGTTTCAATCCCTTTTTTTCAAAAATTAAACTTCTGGTTGCTGCAATGTAAGGGGATTGCCCAGATCCTAGAGACAGTGCAGAGAAGAATAATTAAGATGATCCCTGTTGTTAGAGGAATGAGCTACGAGCAAAGATTAGACAAACTAGGGCTCTTCTGGGTTGACAGAAAAAAACACTAATGAGACCTCTTTGAGGTGTGTAACATTTTAAATACAATTCAAAAAGTAAACTCAGAACAATATTTTCAGGTGCATCAAGACATTAGTCAAGAGGAGTTCGGTATACAGTTGTAAATGGCAGTTTCAGGACAGACACCAGGAACTATTTCTTTACCTAGAGGGTAATTAACAGCTGGAACAGGTTGCCAAGAAGGGTGTTTTTGGCCAGGATGTTGGATTCATTTAGAAAACAGCTTGATGCTGTGATGGAAGGACATTTGGGTGGACCTGAGTTTGATTCCCAAGTGGGGCGAAACTTGAGCCAAGTTTCCTTACTCCACACGTTTTGGTTTACCTAGCAGTAAGAACCTGATTGTTGGTTGATTCCAGTATCTCTTTCCAGGGATAATAATCCTTTGCAAAAAAAAATGTGGTCAATCACTATGCGCAATTGGCTGTCGCATTTCGCCCATAAAATATACAGTGAATCCGCTGTACAAATATATTCTGTGAAGCGCTTTGAGATGGCTCAACGACATGATAAGGTGCTATATCAAATGCAAGGATTATTATTATGGTGCATATTCAAAAAGGGTGGGATCAAATGGGCCGAAAAGGCTTTCTCATCTGAACGGATCTCGCAATCTGCTGAACAGGTTTCTAGTTTGTGATAACTTTCTAAGTGGCCAGTCGTTCTTGTCCTCATCAATGTTTTTGAGATTTAATTTTCATACAGCTACCCTGTGCGACTGCTGTCAACCACACAAACCTGAGCTTCTGCTTCTGTATTTTTCCTACCAGACTTGCTAAATTGTCAAAAAAAAAGCAGAAATATGAAGCAGTTTATTTCGCTTTTTAGTATCTTTTAAAGCTGTTGTGCGCCTCTTTGTTCTTTTTAATTAACCGCCTGAAAAGAGGTGATGTTCTGCCATGTTATTAATAATAATCATTGCATTTGATAAGCCATAACCCAATAATCTGTAAACTTGAATACCTCCATAATAATAATAATAATTATCCCTGAATTTTGATAAAGCACCTTATCACGTCGTTGAGATGTCTCAAAGTGGTTCACGGAATAGATTGTAAAGTGAATTGACTGTGTATTTTGTGTTAGAAACTCGGCAGCCAATTGCTTACAGCAGTGTTTTTCCCCAAAAGTTGTGAGTTGAGAGATCAGATTTTTTTTGGAGGGTTTATTACCGCAGAAAGCAATCCGCCAATCAACTAACAACTGGGTTCCTACTTACCCCTCATGCTCTGTTTATCTAGCAGTAAGTAAATTTGCCATAAGCCTGTGGAATCTAAAATGTTCCCAACCTAAGTCGATGTCATCAGGTAGAATCACATCTGATCAGTTGTAAACTAGTTTTGATATACAGGTGAAGCAGAAAGTCAATATTCTATTGAAGAATAGATTAATAGGGAGTACACTGGGCATCCACCTCTGTTGAAACAGACAAGTGCAAAAGTATCATTACTGTGTCACGTAGAGACCATGTTAAACAGTTGTTAACTGTTTTAATCACATCTATTCAAATTCTATTTGAATACACATTTACACGGCAACTTGTTACAACAGGAAGACATTGTGCTCAGCAATTACTTTAATATCAAACATATTTGACTTTAAATCATGCCCTCATTCAGATGCGACTTAAAACAAGGTCCTGTCTGCCTGTCCAGGTCAATGTTAAAAAGACCCCATGGGACTATTCCCATGTGTTCTGGCCAACAATCCTCAACATAAAATTGGCCACTCATTTCATAGCTGTTTGTAGGACACTGATGTGCACATATTTGCCTTCCCCTACCTTCCTCTCGGGCATCTCCACCCTCCTATCTTCCCTCCCCCTCTGCTCTGAACGCCTTCTAATCTTAGGCGACTTCAACCTCCACTTCACCCCTCCTGCTATACCTCTGCTGACTTCTCCTCCCTCCTCTCTTCCCTTAACCGCTCCCTCCATATCCACTCTCCCACCCACGACCATGGTAACCCCCTTGATCTGGTGATCGCCCGGGGCCTCACCGTCTCGGACATCACCATCACTGACAAAACCATTTCGGACCACCACTTTTTCTCCCTCAACACCTCCGTACCCTTTCCCCCTTCTCAACCCTCTACCGTCCTTGGAAAAAAATTTCCTCCCTCTCCCTCTCCACTACTCTGGAGTCATCTGAACTCCTACACCTATAGCCATCACTGACCGATCTACCTTCCTTGCTCTCTTTTCTCCACAAATCCCTCTCCTCCATTCTAGACTCCCTTGCCCCCCTCACCGCCCGAACTTCCTCATACTCTCTAAATCCCGCTGGTACACCAGCCATCTCCGTTCCCTCAAGGTACGAGTGTGAGCTGCCAAATCCAAACTAACAGTCCATCGGCAGATTTGCCTCCATCATACCAAGACCTACCACTGCGCTCTTGCCACCGCCAAATCCTCCTTCTATTCCAAGATTACTCAGGCCTCTCCTTTCCACCACAAACCATCTCGTCCATCCACCTTCCCATGCCTCGCCCATCCTCTCCTCAAACTCCAACTGTGAGGAGATGCTGGACTTCCTCAAAATCAAAATCAAGGTGATACGTTCAGCCACCTCTGACTCATCCACCCACCCCACATCACCTCTCCTTCATGATCCACCCCACCCATCCCCCCCTATACTCCTTCGACCATATCGCTCCCTCTTCACTGCCATTTTTCGCAAACTTAAACCCACTGCCTGCTCCCTCGATCCCATCCCCTCCTCTCTCCTCATCTCCCAGCTCCACCTTCTGGCCCCTCTCCTGTCCGATGTCATCAACGTCTCCTTGTCCACTGGTTCAGTTCCCACCCCGCTAAAAACAGCCATCATCACCCCCATCCTGAAAAAACCTTCCCTGGACCCATCCCAGCTCTCCAGCCACCGCCCCATCTCTAACCTCCCATTCCTCTCCAAGGTCCTGGAACGAGTCATCGTGTTCCAGTTCCGCTCCTTTCTTTCTTGCCATTCCCTCTTTGAACCCCTCCAATCCGGCTTCCGCGCTGCCCATACCACGGAAACAGCCCTGGTCACAGTCACTAATGACATTCTGAACATCTGTGATCAGGGCTCCCTCTGCCTCCTCAAATTCTCTGCAGCCTTCGACGCTGTCGACCACTCCATTCTCATACACCGCCTCTCCTCTTTACTTAATCTTCGCGGACCGCAAATCCTATCTCTCTCACCGTCTCCACTTTGTTGCCTCTAACGGTTTCTCCTTCATCCCCACGCTGTCATGTCATGTCAGGGCTCTGTCCTTGGCCCTCTCCTCTATAATATCTACGTGCTCACCCTTGGTGACATCATCCGCAGACATGGGGTCAACTTCCATACGTTTGCGGATGATACCCAACTCTATCTTTCTGCCTCCACCCTCAACTCCAGGACCACTGCTGTCCTGACAGACTGCCTGTCGGACATCAAGTCCTGGACGAGGGCAAATTTCCTACATTTGAATGTGAACAAGACTGATGCCCTCCTGATTGTCTCACGCCAGCGCCTCAGCACCTCAGGCTGGGAGCATCAACCTCCATGGGTGCGCACTGCAACTCACCAGCCAGTTACTGACCCTCAACTGACCATCAACTGTCTTTTCTTCCCCACATCCAAGCCATGACCCCCTCTGCCTTCTCTCACCTCCGTAACATCGCTCGACTCCCCACGACCTCACCCTCAGGCTATTGAAACTCTTGTTCATGCCTTCATCACCTCCAGGCTCGACTATGCGAACGCCCTGCGTGTCGGCCTTCCCAACTCCTCCCTCCATAGGCTGCACATAATCCAGAATTCTGCAGCCCGTGTCCTCTCCCGCAACAAACTCCGTGACCCCATCTCTCCCATTCTTGCCCAACTCCTTTGGCTCCCTATCCTTCAGAGGATCCAGTTCAAGGTCCTGGTCCTCACCTACAAAGTCCTCCATGGCCTCACCCCACCCTACCTCTGTGACCTCCTTACCCTCAACCAATCCACCCGCTCCCTCCGCTCAGCTGGCCCCAGCCTCCTCCACTCCCCCGACCCACCCGTCCCACCATTGGCGGAGAGCCTTCAGCCACCCTGCACCCAACCTCTGGAATTCCATCCCCCAATTCACTCCACCTCGCCCTTCCTTAGCCTCCTTCAAGTCTCGCCTCAAAACCCTCCTCTTCGACCATGCCATCGATCACCCCCCTTCCCCTCCTCTCCCTTCTCCCTCCCTGACCACACCTCGGGTCTGAAATGCTGTACACTGTCCAGCACCTTGGGACGTCCTCCTGATGTGAATGATGCTATACAAATTTAATCTTGTTGTCGTTGCAGCCTCATTTGCACAAAATACAGTCACTGCTCTTTACACTGGATCCTGTGAAGCACTTTGAGATGCCTCAACGATGTACTAAGGTGCTATATCAAATATAGGGATATATATATTTAACAGGACAGGTTGGAATGGTGGACTGGACTGACATATCTTTCCATCTCTGAGAGTCCTTCCTAACTAGACTTAAAAAAAATTCTAACTGTAATCCTTTGTTAATCAACAATTTATTGGTAAAGCCCACACACAAACTAGCCGCAATAAAAAGTGGGCTAAAGTTAGCATTCTGGTCCTGAGCTAGCCTGGAGTGGAGTGATATGGAGTGTGAACTTTGCAGACTTGTGTTTCTTTGCAGAGCGGAAAATAATAACAACAACTTGCATTTATTCCTTCATGCGGGATAGCGTCCCAGAGCACTTAATAGCAGAGGTACAGAGGGCATTGACTGTGCTTTACTTCCCATTGCCCTACCTACACACCTGGCACTCTCACACCTTCCTCCCTCCAAGTGACATAGCCCACCCAACAAACCTCCTCTCCGCCTGGACATCTTCAAGTGTTATAGGAAGACTTACAAAGAGACAACTCATTGCTTCTGCTGCTGGCAATGCTCATTTCTACATATCGCAAAGCAAATTCAGAACAGCCAGATTAAATCAAAATCGATATGACACTGAAACGTTGCATCCCAATTGCAAATGCATTGGCTGTGGATTACAAACACACTACTGTGATCATGATCAGAAACCTTTGATAAGATGATATATACACCTGCACTTTGCTCTTCGTTAACAGTGATGACAAAACCAGGCTTACTTGTGAGGATGGCTAGAGAAAGTCCTGGTTCATATGCCCTCCTCTCTGGTGCCTTCACTCGCTCTGAGATTGGTGTATGTTGTTGGCAAGCCAAGGAGATACTGCACGATACTGATCATTCATTCCTAGCGCTGGCTAAAACTACTTTAGTCACGCCTCTCAAAAAATGGTCTATTTTTATTGGGCTCTAAGCCATTGCTTGATAAATCCTGTCTTTTCATTTCGTTGACGATCAGTAAACAATTTCCCTTCTGTTACTCCCACTTCCCCAACGGTTTGGAGGAAATCCCCAAATGGACCCATTTAGCACCTTGAGCAAACGACAAATGCACGTTCTGTACTACTACTAATAATAATCCTTGCATTTGATATAGCGCTTTTCAAGTCTTCTCAACGTCTCAAAGCGTTTCACAGAAGATACTGTAAAGTGAATTGACTGTATATTTGTGGGCGAAACACGGCAGCCAATTGCACACAGCAATGTCCCACGAACAGTTTTGGATTGAAGTGACCAATTTATTATTTTTTTTGAGGGATTATTATCAGGCGTGTGGAGTAAGGAAACTTGCCCAAGGTTTCGCCCTCTGCCTGGAATTGAACCCAGCCTCTTGCTTGCAAAGCGAATGCTCTAATCACTGAGCTATAGGACTCCTACTCTAAACCTCCCAACAATATTCGTTTTACTTTCAGTTTTCTACTTGCATTTTACTTTTCTTCACCTCAGCCACAACACCGCCTCCACTTCTATCTCACAACACATCTCCTCGAGAGCCATTTGCTATTTTCTCATCTAGACATTTCGACTGGAGGAAATTCTCACGAGCTGCATTCAGTAATATCAACTTAACCCAAACTCTGCTGCCCTTATCCTTGCCCATACCAAACTCTGTACGCCCATCACACCAGTCCATATGGACTGAGCAACAAAAGTACTGTCAATTTATTGAATAGCGGGCAATTTATTAAACCTGGATTATGCCCCCTCTCCAACTTGTCCTGTAGCTCAGTGGTTAGAGCACTCGCTTGCAAGCGAGAGACCTGAGTTCAATTCCAGGCAGAGGGCGAAACCTTGGGCAAGTTTCCTTACTCCACACAGAGCCTAATAATAATCCCTCCAAAACAAAGCAATAATTGGTCATCTTCAATCTACGACAGTTTGTGGGACATTGCTGTGCGCAATTGGCTGCCGCGTTCGCCCACAAATGTACGGGCAAGTCACTTTACAGTGTGTTCTGTGAAGCGCTTTGAGACGTCGAGAAGACGTTATTTCAGGCGCTAATATCAAATGCGAGGATTATTATTGTCTCCATGTTCTCCCGGCACTTTGAGTTCAAGGTTCCCACTCTCAGCTATAATTCCCTTCACGCCCGAGACCTTCCTTATCTCGCTGATCTCCTCCTAACCCTGTTCATCCTGTCTGCTTAGCAGGTCCGCCTCGCCAACAAGAGGACCCGCGTTCAATTTCCCGGGCAGAGCAAGACCTCACTCCACACGACTGCCCAGCAACTGGTTGTCTGTCGACTGGCGGATTGCTTTCCGGGGGGGGGGGGGGGTGTGTGGGGGGGTGTGGGGGGTAATAATCCAAATTTACTTTAATTGAGTGCACCAACCGAGTAACAAGAGTATCGGCGAAGCAACAAAGAATACTGTTGAATTGTTTCCGCCGCCTTCAGCACGTTTTGGGGTGAGATGCTGTTTATTTCGCAGGAAGCTGCACGTCATTACCGATCTTATCGGGAAACTGGGGCAAATCAGGGTTTATGGGGTTTTTTTTTGTTTGTTTTTCTTTGCAAAATCAGCTGTTCGTCACCGGAAATAAAAACACCAGACAATTTATTGAACGGCAGGAAATGTATTAAATCTGGATTATGCACCGCCCCCCCAACCCCACCCCCACCCCCACCCTCCCGTCCCCCCAACCCCACCCCCACCCTCCGTCCCTCCAACCCACCCCCCCCCCCCCCCGTCCCCTCCAACCCGACCCCCCCCCCACCCCGTCCCTCCAACCCGAACCCCCGACCCCCATCCTCCAACCTGACCCCCATCCCTCCAACCCGACCCCCACCCCCGTCCCCTCCAACCCGACCCCCACCCCACCCCCGTCCCCTCCAACCCGACCCCACCCCCGTCCCCTCCAACCCGACCCCCACCCCCACCCCTCCTCCAACCCGACCCCCACCCCCACCCCATCCTCTCCAACCTGACCCCCACCCCGTCCCCTCAACCCAACCCCCACCCCCGTCCCTCCAACCCGACCC